CACTGCAGCCTGGCGACAGAGCGAGACTCTGTCTCAAAAAAATAAAAATAAAATAAAAAAGAAATCACAAACTGTTCCAATTCCAATCTATACAAGTGAAACCTACACAGTTAAATGTCTTAATAGAGAGCTAAAAGCATTAAGTTCTATCATACTTAACATATTGATGAAGAAAATTTAAACTAAAAGAGAGCCTGATCTTTAGAAACTGGCAGAAAAAATAGGGGCTGCATCCAAGACCACTCACAGCAAGTCCATTCTTCCAACAGCTCCCAATTGCTATTTCATGAAAAGTCCAAATTACCCACCCCAAGGTCCTAGAATTCAGCCAGCCTCCCTACCATCAAAAGCAACAGTCACCGAAACTTACTAAAATGAGGCTTGTTATGAAGAAAAGAGTGAAGAAATAAAGGCATTTATTTCATCTTGTTATTTGAATGTGAAAACTCCCAGTAGGGTAAGAAAAAAGAATTCTGCCAGAGAAACGATGAAGTGAAACCTCAATCAATTTGGGCTTTTGAGTGCCTACTGTCATCCAGCCATGAAATGGCTTTTTACATAAGCATTTTACATAAGTAATTTAAGCCCGATGATGCAGACAGTAGGTATCATCTCCATTTTAAGATGAGGAAATTGAGACAGACGAGATCACCTAACTGTCAAGGTTTCACCGCAGAGCTGTGGTTCAAACCCACGTGCTCTAGTTTTACAGCAGTTAAGAAACTACAAGGGTTTGCCAAGTTGTCAAGTGCCAGTCCAAGATAAATGGATGCTCTGAGTATCAAAAAATATATATAATCTTCAGATCGAAACACGAAGATACAAACATCTAAGAGTCACCACGGGAGTTGCTGGGGCATCAAGTGGTTTCTCTGAAAATCCATGAAGGAAAAGAATAAAGCATTTTTCCAGCCTTTCTTGTACAAACTATATTTCAGGGAAACCAAGTATTTGATGAGGGAATTCTTTGTTTAGAAAGATTTTAGCTAATAAATGCAGAGGAATAACAAGATTTAGGAGGGGAAAAAATCACCATTTTATAACTTCTAATAAAATAATGAGTTTAGGCAATAGCTGTCAATGGATGCTAAAATGATTAGGTGAAAAGTTGATGGAGAATTTTAATTCAGGGGAATTAAGCTGATATCATCTGAAACCATTTGGCGTCACTAAAAATGTGACAAGCTGGTGGCTGCCAGGGAGTGGGGGGACTGGGTAGGGGGGAAGCAACAGGAGTTATAGTTTACGGGTACAAAGTTTCAGTTTTACAAGATGAAAATAGTTGCAGAAATGAATAGCAGTGATGGCTGCAGAACATTATGACTGACTATACACTTAAAAATGTTTAAGATAGAGCTGGGTGCAGTGGTGCACACCTGTAGTCCCAGTTATGCAGGAGGCTGAGGCAGGAGAATCACTTGAGCGCATGAGTTCGAGACCAATCTAAGTAACATATAGAGACCTCATCTCACAAAAACATCACTACCACAAAACAAAACAAAACAAAACAAAAATGGTTAAGATGCTAAATTTTAAGTTATGTGTATTTTACCACAATAAAAAAAAAAATGAGGTTGGGTGCAGTGGCTCATGCCTATAATCCCAGCACCTTGGGAGGCAGAGGCAGGTGGATCACAAGGTCAGGAGTTTGAGACTGGCCTGGCCAATATGGTGAAACCCCGTCTCTACTAAAAATACAAATAAACTAGCCGGGCGTGGTGGCTCACGCCTGTAGTCCCAGCTACTTGGGTGGCTAAGGCAGGAGAATTGCTTGAACCCAGGAGGCCAGGGTTGCAGTGAGCTGAGATTACACCACTGCACTCCAGCCTGGGCAATAGAAGGAGACTCCGTCTCAAAAAAAAAAAAAAAAAAAAAAAAAAAAAATTAAAACATAGTTACCCAGCAATTCCACTTCTAGGCATATACCCAAAGAACTCAAAGCAGGTACTCAAACAGATACTTGGACATGAATGTTCACAGCAACATTATTCATAATAGCCAAAAGGCAGAAGCAACTCAAGAGTCCATCAACAGATGAATGGATAAACAAAATGTGGTATATCCATACAATAGAATATTATTCAGCCATTAAAGGAATTAAGTTCTGATACATACTACTGCATAGATGAACCTTGAAAACACTGTACTAAGTGAAAGAGGCCAGGCGGCTGAATTTCGAAAGACTAATATACAATTCCACTGAATAGGCAAATTCATACAGAGAGAGTAGAATAAAGGTTACTAAGGGTTGGGGGAGAGGGGAATGGGCAGTTATGGCTTAATGGATACAAAGTTTCTGTTGGGAATGATGAAAAAATTGTGGAAATGGACAGTGGTGAAGGTTATAAAACATGGCGAATGTACTTAATGCCACTGAATTGTATACTTAAGAATAAACTTGTAATTTTTATATTATGTATATTTTGCCACGATAAAAATTTTTTAAAAATGTTTAAGTGTGACAACCGAACTTCTGTGTTAGGATAGGAAGAATACTTATGAAGTATTCTTGCCTCTGAAATGAATCAGAATCTAATCAAGTCTCTAGAATAAACAACCAGTTCACAGGAAATCCACAGATAGCCAAGCAAGTTAGACGGCACCATAATAAAGTAATCAGCCAAATCCAGAATGTGGAATAAACAGTTAACAACCAAAAAAAAAAAAAAGGGGGAGGCCAGGCGAGGTGGCTCACACCTATAGTCTCAGCACTTTGGGAGGCCAAGGTGGGCAGATGCTTGAGCCCAGGCGTTTGACACCAGATTGGGCAACATGGTGGAAAACCCATCTCTACAAAAAGTATAAAAAAATTTGCTAGGTGTGATGGTATGCACCTGCGGTCCCAGCTATCTGGGAGGCTGAAGTGAGAGGATCGCTTGACTCCAGGAGGCAGAGGCTGCAGTGAGCCGAGATTGTGCCACTGCACGAGAGCCTGTCTCTAAAATAAAATAAAATAAAATAAAATAAAATAAAATAAAATAAAATA